GAACCTTAAAGGACAGAATGCATGAAAACAACAGACACTTATCGTCTGTATTGTTTTCTCTGTCTGAAGGAGAACATGGCATCAGTGTCACTCAGCTCTCGACTCAACAAGAGCCTGCGTCAGCAGTACCTGAACCTGCAGCAGGAAGGGAAGTGCCAGGTCACCTACATCTGGATCGACGGCAGAGGAGAAGATGTTCGTGGCAAAACCCGAACCCTGGACAGTGAGCCAAAAAGCATAGAGGGTAAATGGCCTATTTTATTTTTGTGATTTATTAGTTATCTCAACATTTTATCAGCAAGCTCACATTTTTCAAATCAATGAAAGATCTTGAGCCTTACACGGAATAAGTTAAAGAGAAATGGTAAAACCATCACATCGGATCGCTCAGTCTGCCCTTGTATTCAGTTTGTGAGGAATTATTAAGTGAGAAATATTCAACAAAGCAGCTATCAGACAGAACCCTTGTGGACATGGAGTACCACAGCACGCCTCTACTGTACATAGCACATGTGTGAGAGCATCCTGGTGAAACAAATGAACAGGTTTAGCTGGAGAACAAATATTTGTGGCTGAATCTTTGTTCGAACACGGTAACACAGACGGACTCTCCACTTGCAGATATACGATATTAAAGTCCTTATTTGACTCAAACTCAGGGGGTGGATGAAAACAATTCTGAGGTGCAACAAACAAAACAAAGGCGGGTGGTTGCAGACGTTGCAGGAGGCTGGACAGGGGAGAGCCTGAGACTGCCACATGGGCGTCAACTTTTTTTATCTGCAGGTAAACTACCAAGAGTGTTTGAGGGTTAGTCACTGCTCATTACCCACATACGTCTGAATTGGTTAATTATACCTCTGAGGTCCCAGCTATGATGTCAAAGCGTCCATTTCTACTGTATTTCTCGAATCTGTACAGTGATTACGACCCGAGCAGCCAGATAACCTAGCTCACCAGAAACAGAAGGAAACTAACAAATTATATCTTCTTAAATAAAACTTTATATGTGGGGTTGTTCGCTGTTTCAGGGAGAGAGAAAGAGACGAACCCGTAGCTAAGGCGTAATAATGACCTGCTATTTTCCTCTGCAGTCGGTGGAGACCAAAAAAGAACCAAAATTGAGATTGAACATGAAAAAGGTTCATGTTCACTGACATGTTAATGGTCCCAACTTTGATGTGTCAGATGCTTTAAATAGAAATTCTACTTGTAGATGTCACATTCAGCACGAGCTCCTCAACACAAGTTGAATTTTTAAATCTGTCTCCGCTTTGACACATTTAACTTTAAATAGTTTACTGTAATTGAATGTGTGAGGTACAGAATTTACAAGAGATGCTTTTTGTAATGATGTTTTATGTTACATCGTCTTCTCAGAAATTCCTGAATGGAACTTCGATGGCTCGAGCACGTACCAGTCCGAAGGCTCCAACAGTGACATGTACCTCAAGCCCATCTGCATGTTCCGGGACCCATTCACCCTCGACCCCAACAAACTGGTGCTCTGTGAAGTCTTTAAATACAACCGCTTACCTGCAGGTACTTTCTTCTGTCAGCTCGATTTACTGGCTCTTGCTCAGTTTGTTCAGGACAAAAAAGCTCTCCTGGTTTTTGCTTTCACTTTCCAGAAACTAACCATCGTGCGAGCTGCGAAAAAGTGATGGAGAAGATTGAGAAGCACAAAATATGGTTTGGTATGGAGCAGGAGTACACGCTGTTGGGAACAGATGGACATCCTTTCAGTTGGCCCGCACAAGGTTACCCATTACCCCAGGGTGAGTGATCTCCTCTTTGGAACATGGTTATTATAAACTGTAGTAATCTCTGGTCCAGAGCCACCTCTTTTTTATTTCATTTTCACTTTCCATCTCGTCCCCCACGTTAAGGCCCTTACTACTGTGGCGTGGGGGCAAACAACGCGTATGGACGAGACATTGTGGAGTGTCACTACAAGGCCTGCCTCTACGCAGGGATCAAAATCTATGGCACCAATGCTGAAGTTATGCCATCTCAGGTAAGTGTCAGCGTTATTCATATACACAAAGGTTTACACTTCCCCTCCACTCTTCCCTGATTGAATATATTTTATCTTCTGACTTCAGTGGGAGTTCCAGGTGGGCCCCTGTGAGGGAATTGAGATGGGCGATCACCTGTGGGTCGCACGTTATCTGCTGCACCGTGTGTGTGAAGACTTTGGGGTTGTCGCAACGCTGGACCCCAAACCAATGACGGGCAACTGGAACGGTGCCGGATGCCACACGAACGTCAGCACCAAGGAGATGAGGGAAGACGGGGGACTGGAGTGAGTAAAATCCACCTTAAAACTAGCTTTGACACTCACTCACTCGTTCCTTAAACTTAATATACTCATAGCTGCTGAAACATTCTCTAAGTCTTTGCTTTACTTGTTGTGTCCTTATTTATGACTTAATCTTTATTTGCAGTCACACAAACCAGCTTATCAAACACGTTTTTTTTCTTTTCTGCACTTGTATAATCAGTTTAATTTTAGGCCGTAGCTTGCAGCCTTTTTCTATGTGCACTATACCTGCTCGGCACCAGACAGCAAACAGACACTGTTAGAAGGTTAATAGTGAACGTGAGAGTATGTAGTACTTATATTACTTGGTGTACATTCACAGGACAAATGAGGCAGGAGGCGATCAACAGTTGATGTTAGTGGATATCACTGCAGGTTTATATATATATATTTGAAAACTAGATTTGCACTCGGTAGAGCACTAAGGCCCCACAGTTTATGAAACCACATTCAAATTACCTGGATTCAGATTTTTATTTGAAAAAAATAACATAAACATCAGTCACCGCAACGGGCCTGATTTTTTAAAATCAAGATCCATGTATTCCCTGAGAAATCAACGGAAATGTTAAAAAACTGAAAGAAATAATAAATAAACATTCACCTTGTCTGTTTCTCTGCTGACAGATACATCGAGAAGGCCATCGCCAAACTAGAAAAGAGGCACAAGGAGCACATCCGCGTGTACGACCCTCGTGGAGGCAAGGACAACATGAGACGTCTCACGGGTCACCACGAAACCTCCAGCATCGACCACTTCTCTGCCGGGGTGGCCAACCGTGGTGCCAGCATCCGTATCCCTCGCCAAGTGGGCCATGATAAGAAAGGCTACTTCGAGGACCGCCGCCCTGCATCCAACTGCGACCCGTACGTTGTGACGGAGGCCATCGCCTGCACCTGCCTGCTGGATTCAGACAAGGAGGGCAGTGGGAGTGGGGTGGAGATAAATGTGAGTTCACCTGAGATGGAGTCTTAAAAAGCTTTTAAGAAACTAAATGAAGACGTGCAGACTTAGTGGTTGGTGTATTTATTGAAGTATAGACGTGAATGTGCACAGAGAGTTACATCTCCAGTACTGTAATCCTTAGAACAGAGAAAATGAATGTTCTGCACTGCAGCTTTATGGTTGGATGTGTTGTGGTTAATCTGAGCCTGCATTCTTTTAACAAAGACACAAATGTGCTGTCTCCGCTCTTTCTTGATTTCTTTGCAATAAACTAAATAAACTAACATCAAATTATAAATTTACCAATAAAGTCAACATAAGCAAAATGTTGCCATTATTGTCTTCTTCATGTAAGTGCTTAGGTTTTCAAGTGTGCGTCATTGTGTTGTGATCATAGTGGAGGTTTGAGCTCCACTGAATCACATTCTAGTTACAGATGTGGATGACATCTGGCAGTTGTCCATCAGGTGGAGCCACACATTCAGTTCTCATCTCACCACATGAGTTAAACATAAGAAGTTCACCCGTCAGACCTGAAAGAAGGTCAGAGCGACAATAAAGACAGAGCAGAAAAGACATGAATGAGGCTGTGACGTCGGTGCACTCTCATCACTGGCACGGCTTCACGGCGGCCTGATGCTCGGCCTACTTGACATATGGCGTTCACATCGTTATCCTCTTACTTTCTGACATATGATCCTCCCTCACGTTCAGCCTGGCAGAGTCAAAATGACTCATCACCCAAACTGTTTGACGGGAGGCTTTGCAACATGACCAGACAAAAAAAAAAAAAAACATTCTTTACACCGGATCAGATGCCACAGCGTGCCAGATCTCCATGGATACAGGCAGTAGCTTGGCAACCGTGGTGTTTGTCTGTTGTCATGGAAACATATGTCTCAGAGCTTTTTTAGCAGCCTGGTGAGATGAGGACAGAAAGAGAGGAAAAGATAAATATCTGTCCGTCTCTTTTCTGGTAAATGCAACATGTTAAAGCTCCACAGTAAAAACTATGAGTGAAGAAAATGAGTTTTTAAAGCAAACAACATTCACATCTGCTTCAGCCAGTGACGATGCACATTAAGCACAGAATTTGACAGGAAGTGCTGTTGTACACAGGAAGTAACTACTGAGATAGGAAGTTACATGTTAATGCTTGCTTAAATTGTGTTGTTAGTTTGAGCTCGGCTGAAAAATGCAAGCTCATATTACTCAGCCTCAGATTGTGGTGTGGATTATATGGACTATAACTTCCTGCTCTCTGGTGCCTTATGGGGACAAACCTGTGGAAATAAAAAAAAGCATCTATAATACCACATTTCCAGGAAAGTGCATCGTAACTTTGAGGAAGTACCGTGCAAAAGAAGCGAGATCCGAACTGAATTAAGAATCGGGAGAATTCTTTCACCTCTTACTCCAAATTAAACAACAACTTGACAAAATCCTCCTCATGGCACATCTAAAGATAAAATAAGATAAGATAAGATATACTTTATTCCCCCCATGAGACAGTTTGCTTTGGGCACTGTCCATTCTGCAGTTTCACATGAAATAAAATCTCAAAGTTCAACAAGTCAAATTAATCTTATTTAAGAATATTGAAATGTAAATTACTTTTAGCCATTTAAATACCACGATTGATGACACACTTAAAGGAGGGAGTTTATGGAAACATTAGATCAAGTCTATCATCATTATTATTATTATAATTATAATATGGGAACGTTTTAACTTTATTTCCCAGTGTGCAGGATGTGCGGACAACAGTCTGATTTCACAAAACAACATCAACCAAATCGACTTTAATATCAGTAAAATGATATGAAAACGCAACGTAAAGAGTTAAATCATTAAAACATTTAAATGTCCACATTTGATCCCTCCCTCCTGTTGGCCAATAGTGACGTCACTGGCGTGCACGGGGGCGCGCTGCAGCAGGTGAGTGCGCGGAGTCGCCTCCTCGGTGCCGGAGACGCAGCGGCGGAGTCATGGGGAAGCTCCAGGAATTTGACATCACGTTCAGCAGCAACAAGGTGGTGTACGGCCCCGGAGAGTCCATCAGCGGCACCGTGAAGATACGGACCAGCAACCCGCTGCAGTACAAAGGTGAGGCGGGCTTTCGTCTCGCTCGGTTCCCCGGCTGCGTGTCGCCTGGTTCACCGCGGTGCGCGCACATCCACAGCGGCTCCGCGGGGACAAACTTTCCGCCTCCGGGTGAGCACGCGGGCGGACTGAGGACAGTGTTGTGGCGGCGGCGTGGTTGGTTCTCAGCCGGTGTCCCGCCTCGTGTCGGGACCGATCCCCGCCCGGAACCGTGTTGTCTGTTGTCTGGTGCGGACATTCGGTGCCGCGGCTGTGCGCTCCCCGGCTCTTGTGCCATTTCAGCCGGTTGAAGAGAAACCCACATCCTGCAGCAGCACATCCTGCCTCCGACTACATGTTGCTTCCATGTATTGTTTGTTGACGAAGCCAAGAAAATGTTCGGGGATGTTGTTTTGCGTCAGAAAAAGCTCAACAGAAAGTGTTAAGAGACTTTATAGCTCGATTTCCTCGTGTCTGTTGAGTGTGTGAGAGGGAATCATAAGCTTTAATGTAACACGGGGCTGGGCATTAAAATAATATGAATAATTTATTACTACATAGTTAAAATACAATTAACTAAAATACTCGTTGAAGTGATAGAGGAACACAAAATGAAATACAGTTTGGAATGGCATCAGCAACAATGAGATAACTAAAGGAAGTAGTCCAGTTACTTGTATTTAGCAGTATTGATATCTTTGTTTGTTTTGGCTCTTTTATTATTATTAGTATTATATAGCTGTACAACTGAATTATATGGGACATGACACTACTACTAGTAATAATAGTAACAAACTAAGATACAGAGTGCTTCACAAGTTACCCGATCACAGAAAAGCCAAACTAAACAGATAAATCAACATTAAAACAATAAAAGAACAACATTTTGCAAAACTGTAAAGACGGCAATACAATGTCATCAATAGCGATACAACAAAAGTTCAATATTAGTCTAAATGCATTGTGTTAGCACAGTGAGCAGGTAGAACACATGATTGAACAGATTTGTAAAATGTTTTGCAAGTTTTTCAACCTTCACTCTGGAGCAAAAATCTGTTTTTAAACTTAAACATGTTTATCATTTATCGCGATAATTATCGATATCAACTTTTTGTATGATGATATATTTGTTGTCCGTGTCGTCTGCTGTAACACCTCAGAGAGACTCCTGGAAATAGTTGATCATGTTAGGGGAGGCAGGTTGTGGAGAGCGGCTCTCGAAGTTGCCACGGATGCTCACAAAGAATCCATTGTGTGTAAAGTGATCCTTGTGGGGATTCTTCCCTGATAATGGGGGTCTGCTGTCAACTTGAGCCAAAGCACTTTTTCCAGGAGAGTCTGGCTCAGAGGTATGTTAATTGACTGGGTTTGTAAATAAAGAGCGCTGCTGTAAAGTGCTGTGTTGTTTAGGAGATTTCTGTTGGAAGCAGAAAGGCTTTAAAAGTTCACGTTTCATCATCTGTGCGTCACAGGAAGTGCTCAAAACTCAAAAACAAAGGAAGGGAAAGCACAACACACATAAAAACAGGACGACTTCTCATTTCATGCTTTTCACACGTGTAGAACATCATTCAGACAAATTTAAATGTTTTGGATACACAGTTCCACCTGTTTGTGTCATAGAGTGATTAATTTGTCATAATGCACTGGCTGACCTGGAGCAGATGGCGTTGCTGAGCGGTCAGAGCTCCTGCTGAGCTCTTTTACGCTGTAAGGTCACACGACTGCCGCCCATCTGTACTTGATACCGGGCGTTATTCCTAAATTTAAGCCCTGTGGTGATGGCTGCTGTGGCTTTAAGAGCATCCAGACAGAGGGGGAGCTTCTGCAAGTCAGAAGACTAAAAGTAGTGATGCCAAGAGTTAATGGTGGGATGACTTTGAAGTCGTAGACGGGAAGAGCATCTGTCTGTTCACTTTCATTTCATCGTGATGTCTAAAATATCAAAGCTCACACCTTAAACAAAGTGCGAAAGACCGCTGTGTTTTCAGTTCTCAAATTCTGCTTCAGTTAGACACCTTTGCCTTCACCCTTCACTGCCTCAGGGATTGTTGTACCGTTTTTTTAAACATTATAGTTCTACAATTAATTAGTGCATTAAAGTAACCATGAAAAACTGTATCCACGCCAGGGGGTCTTTTGGAAAATGGCCACAAAACAAAAATTAGACGGGCGATCGGAGAGAGCACATACCTCCATCATGGATAAGTGAAAAATAAATCCTGGATCTGCCTGTTTTTACAGATCTGCTCCAAAATCAAATTCTTCCTCCTATTCAAATTTATAAAACAACCTGCCCCTCCACTAATGGTCATGGAAATCGGTTCAGTAGTTTTTGTGTAATCTTTCTTCTAATCTTCTTCTAAACAAGAGAGGTTAGTTTATTCAGCCATGATACATGCTGGTTGTTTTGTCAGTTTGCAGTTTGTCCTCCACTGACTCCTCTTCCTATACCGCAATCGAAGAGCTCAGACTTTCATAGCATCCGTTAATGTGCTGTAAACGCTGAGGCAGCGTTGTGTGCCCTGTGACACACCCCTCTTAACCATGGCTGCTGATGTCTCCATCAATCAGATGGCTTGAATCACGCTGCAGCGGGGAAGTGTGTGTGCTGGTCGACTTTGTTCAAGTGAGGATTTCCTGCTTTTGTGACTTGGGGGGAGAACAGTCGTCGGCCTGACATGTAATACCGTGAATGGTTCCTCGTGTCAATTTTCTGCTTTTATTTGATGAAGGACGCCTCATGAAGGCAGTGGATGAGCTACGTGTGTGTCCATGTTTTGAAATAGCAATCCTTATTGTAGCGTTGAGCAGAAAGCCTCCATTTGACACCTGTGGGACCAATGTGGAGGTTAAATTTATCTGATCAACACAAAGTTAATCATCAACATTTCTCCTGGTTCAGCTGCGGTTCCCGCTCCTCGTCCTCACAGCGCATGTTCCCGTCCAGGAAACTGATCATTTGAAAAGTTGATCTGAGTTTTGTTTTAGGTCTTTGGTGTGTGAGTGTGTGTTTGTGTTGTGGCTCCGTATGATCTCTATGAATTCTTCTTTATTTACATTGCAGTAGGAGTCGGGTGTGCACAGTTACCAGGTAGGAAGGTGAAATAAACACAGAGTGATATTAATAAACAGATCCAGGCTTTCTGAATCCTCAGCCTTGCTGTATTATTGATGATGGAGACCATTAGACAGCATCTGTATTGATTAGCCTTGAGCGGAGCCATGAATGCATGAATGAAAGGATGCCACTTACACACATTACTTACACATAATGTTGAACATGCACTACAACTCTGTTCAGCCACTTAACTGTATCCAGACATAATGTTCATATTGGATGATCGTGCAGAGTTTGCAGCAGTCAGAACTATGGGGCCAATCTTGTTAGGTTTACCTTGAGTGTGTGACTGTAGAGAGTTGTGTAACTCTATCTCAATCTACGTAAATGTTTGAAAGAATTTTTAAATGCGAACTGAAATTGACAAAACCTAATTTTGTGAAATCACCACGATCTTGCCCTTTTGACTTTTGACCTCTAGTTCATCTTTGACTCTTTGGGTCCAAGTTGTGCCAGATATCCGTCACTGTGCTCCCAAGGTATTGCGTTCTTGAGAGTCAGTCAGACTGAAAATATAATGCCTCCAGCTATGTCTGCAATAAAAACACCTACTTCTAAGCAGGGCACACCTCTGTGTTAAGGTGGTGAGTTGTATGTTGTAGGTTAGGAGGGCGTAGCCAACCTGTCTGTTCTGTTCAGCCTCCTCTTGTTTCTTGGTCGGCCTCCTGACTCTTTGCATGATGTATGGTAACTTGATACAGGAGATGATGCTGCATTGACCCTGTCTGTCAGCTGTAGGGACATTTTATCTCATATGGGACATACAGTGGGCTCCAAATGTCTGACACCATTAGGAATGTCCTCTGTATCTCTGTATTGACGGTTTACTTCAGGCTCCAACACTTTGACAAGTTGCACGTAAACCTTGCACGTAAACCTTGCACGCGTTTTCTGGACTTTGCCTTTGACATATGAAGAACGCAGCAGCAGAAGATTGACAGCAGTTGAAACAGGAAATTAGTCGCCTGAAAGCTCACTTGACCTGACTCCCTGCCGGTTTATAGCCTCATTCATCCTTTCAAAACGGCGTATCCAGGTTGTCAACAGTGTAAGCGAAGACGTGCCGGGGTGTGTTGTTCTTTTTTATCTTCAATTACAGCAGTGGATCTCAGCCTATCTTTTAGAACAGCAGAAGCACAAACATTCACTGTAACCCAATCTTAATCTCTGGTAATACAAACCACCAGCTTTATGTAAACAAGAGCCGTCATCCCTCAGGTCTACGCAAAGCTGACCACAAGTGTGTGTATGCGCTCACACACACTTTGTACCTTTTAATTGTGGTATTAGTTATTTTTTAAATCCTTTATTTAAACCAGACATTTGTGAATTGCTGCTTTTTTGGGCAGTAAACAAAATACTAACCCTCCTGGTTCCCCTAGCTTCACTATGAAGGCCACAGTGTGTGCTCCTCCATGGTTGCTGTATTACTGCCATGTCCTGTCCCGGACAAGTCCTGACTTATCCACAGAGCTGCTCTCAGTTCAGCAAAGAATTTATTAAGTGTAACTCAAGATAAGACAGACGACTGGGGGGTGTAATCAGTCATCAGCGGGTTATCTGTGCTATGAAAGCTGCAAATGCCATTAACCTCTTGCCTTTTGGTGTGGGTCCCCTCATCTGGAAGAAATGTGACTGTTGAGATTGGAATGTTTATCTTAGCTAAACCTTAATATTGGATTTAGGTACAAAGTCAAATATACTATATGTTTTTAGTATAGAGGGTTTGTCCTGGTTCATATGGACAGTTACTGACCGAGTTTGCAACACCTTTCATTCATTTCAGTCGAATCTTGGCGGTAAGAACTAATCAGGAAGTGAATGTGGCTGACGGCATCATCTTTTTACAAACATTTCTGTTTTTGTCCGTCCACGCAGCCCTTGAGTTTGACAGCAGGAGAAC